CTCTAAATGCAATTGATCTCTAAACCTCTTTCTTTTGCTATATTTTGCTAGTAATGAGGGGGTATATAATAAATTTATCATTATAACAGTAACTTGATCCGAAGAGGCGTATCACGTCAGATCAAACTCGACGCTTCGCGTCAACTCGACGTGATACGACCCTTCGGATCAAGTTACTGTTATAATAATATATATGGATTTTTTACAAGAAAAAGACGTTAATGGTTATCTTCCATAAAGCTTTGTGATAAACGGGATGACTTTAACTTTTTAAACGTCAACATTCCTTGCTTAATTATGCACTCATTATGTCGTAAGTATTATGACCTTATCAGCAAATACAATTTATCATTAAGTCAAATGCTGACATATGTTTTTCATACTAATATAAGGTCATTATATACACACTAAATGATCGAAGGATTTAACGTTACTTCCCGATCATGACGAGGAGCACACGGCAGGTGTGACCGGTCAGCAGGGGATGCTCACTCCTCCATGACACCTGATCCTACCTCTGATGTTTTGGAGGTCCGTGTTTGCTCTTCTCCAATATTTGTATCGTTTAAATGACTTTTGAGCTCAAATACTGTTTGTTATCTCCACATATTTTATTCTGAAACTTGCTATATATTTCTGTATGGATTTTTAAGCAGTCTAGAAATCCGGTTATCTTATAGTAATATAAAATTTGGTATGATTGTTTGAAATATTAAAATGTTTTAAACTGACTTAGAATTTTGAAGAAAGAATTCCTTAGATAGGGAACCATGCGTTATAAGTTGGATTACCACTGCAGAATTGCATCAAAATTGCATCTAGAAATTAAAAAACTCAAATAAAGTCTTTTAGAGAAGATGGTTACCACTATTAATATAGGTCAAATGCACAGGTCCATGAATTCATGAATTTCACGTCATGGTGAAATGAACAGAAAAATTCGACTGCGTGGTTCAATAGTTAGAGTGTTTGCTCCTTTTCCAGGGTTTGATTACCACAGAGATACGTGGAAACTGGTCCTTCAAATGAGACCATATAAATTGAGTGCTGGCGGAAAAAGGTACCTCACTGCTCAAAGGCTGTAATGCTGAGTTCGTCTAAATATAACTTTTTCGCTTATTGATAACAGTAAACCTTAAATTCAAATAAAAAAAAATCAACTAAGTGATTAATTAGAAACTTACTGTTTTTATGATCGATGACACTGATTGATTCTATATCATTAAAGATTCATATGATTGATTAGATATATGATTATTTAAGTTTATTTGAAGTCATTCTATTCTTTTGGGCGTTGTTGTTATAAAATATTTTAATTCATTGTAATATGAATTTTGTATACTATTGAACACCATTCATTAATGCCTCTTTCCGTTCTTTCCACGTTATCTTGGGCGTTGTTACGTTTGCGACATACATGTAATATTAGTGACTTGGTTGTATTTTGCCTGTCAGTGATTTCTCTTTAAAAATCGTGATTTTATGGTAGCTTGAATTATATTCTATATAATACAAATATATGCATATATTATAACTAAAAGTTTTACATTCCTTTTAATAATATAAAATGGAAATTTAAACCTGAAAATAAATAATTTCTCTCCATTTTTAAAATATAAACTTAAAAAGAAGTTATATTTGAATTGTACCTGTCTGCTTCCTTTTTTGAAATGGATAAAATCATCGTGAATTCGTATTGCAAGCTGTACACTTTTTCGAGATTCATTTGTGTGGAGCTCCCTTTTATTGTCATTTTGTATGTATAATACTTCGTAGAGACAAATGTTTCTGTTGAAAAAAGGGTCATTAAAGACATATGACATAAGTGCCTTATAAACCAATAAAAATGCAATGAAATATAACTATGGGGAATGTTTATTTATAATCTATTTCAAGCAGGTAGCAAGAAAACAATCTATAACGAATGCGAAGGGTATACCCCAGTTCAGATTTCAGATATGAGAAATATAATATGTAACATGTATTTATTATATACGCATGTATTTCAATTGTGTTCAGCTTAAAAACAGTATCCCTGCATTCAACAAAGATACTGTGAACTCACTGATTTTCGTGGATGTTTAATTTTTTTTCAAGGTATGGAGAGATATTCGAATTCATAATAATTAAAACTCAGCACTTCACCAAGCTCGAAATCTAATCCACACGTGCACAAACCAAATTTTTTCATTAATTCTCGAAAATATGACCGAACAAAATGTGTAAATTTACAGCATATGATATTTTTTAAAAAGTCGTTATAAGGAAAAAAGTTGTTTAAACACACACATCACACTATTTCTCATAGAAACGCAAGGTGGTGTAAATCAGATGTGCATACTAAAAGATACTAAATGACTCCTAAGAATTTTTGGAAATTTGAAATCACAAAATTTTACCAAATTAACAGGACAAAAACGTACAATATTTCAACTTTATGTACAACCATTCCTCTCGATGAATTAAAGTCCTGACCCCCAGGATCATGAAACAGAATTAGACATAGGTAAAAATTTTTAAATCATGTAAAATGTTGATTTTACTTATTGAATTTATATCTAAATTTGCAGATAACAACACCAGTCCTTTTGAAAAAACAGTGTGGAAAAATATTTTGATTTAGGGGTACATTACTCCTACAGAATTTAAATACAACATAAAGAATTTGATTTAAGCTTAAGACATTTCATGATCCCTGGGCCAGGGTTTTTTATTATCATGGACAGCGTAAAGTTTAATACCTTGTCATGGGTCATTTGCAAAATTATTTTGTTAAAAACATTCTGATTGAATTCACAATTACTCTGAAGTTGATATTAAAATGATATCTGAGTTTCTGATTGACAATATCAACGTGGTTTTTGGAGACCCTGTCTTCCAACAATGTATTGAAATTCCCATGGATACATAATGCGCTCCGTTATGAGCAGACATTTTGTTGTATTCAAGTGAAAAAGAATTTGTCTCAAATTTTATACATGAAAAAAAGAAAATGCTTGCTGTGGCCTTCTACTCGATGTTTAGATATATGGACGACGATGTTTAAAATTCCATTCTTATGTCGATACCATTTATCCCAGTGTGCTTGAAATAAAAGATACCACAGAGTCTTACACATCTGTTTCATATTTAGATATTTTATTTGGAAAATGCTTATGTTAATCTAAAAACCAAGCTTTATAATAAACGCGGTGACTTAAACTATTCAACAATTTCCCTTACTTATGCAGCAGTGTACCTTCAGCATCTGCATACAGGGTTTATATCTCTGCTCTATGTTTGAACATAGATGAAAGGACTTAATAAGGTTTTAAAGCAATTTTAAGATTCTGTTTTCGTAAACAATTAATGTTCTGTGGTCATTTTACAAACTTTCTTCCAACTAAGACTAAAAATTTCATAACTCTACCGGGAAATTTTTTATTACATTTTATTAATAACTTATGATTACATTGCAAATAATCATAAAGAAAAAAACATCTTTATTTAAAAAAAATACAGAGTTGTGAAATTTCAGTCTAAGTCGTAAGATTTTTTGTGAAAAAGGCGACTGGTCTTGTTCATGCATTTTTTTCCGTTTAATTCTTTTTTTTAAAAAAAAAAAAAAAAGAGAAGTTGCATACACTGCAATTTGCTTATTTTCTCTTTTTTCCTTCAGAGACATAAAATTATGAATATTTTAAGTTGATCATCAAAAAAATAATTCCCTTTAAGATCTTCCTTATCAAATTATCCCTAACGTTACCGATAAACCACTTTAAGGAGCTGTGTTACAATACACTTTGAAAAATTACGCACTTTGAAAAAATTTTAGAAAGTGCGATAAATTTGCAACGCACTTTGAAAAAATAAAATTTCTTTTCAAAGTGCGTTGATATCGGCCATATCAACACACTTTGAAAAAAATGTGTATGGCTTGGTCAATATTCTTGAAAATCTTAGGTATGATACATTGTAAATAAATTGAACCTTTTGGATAACTTTGCAGTGATAAGGTCACTTCAGGATCTAAAAGTGAGCGATTGGGATTTTTCCATACTTTGAAAAATCTTTCTCTCTTATATGTTTACTGTACTTAATTTTTCCAGTTTACATGCATTTAAGGTCAAGATCTAGTAAATGAAAGGTGCCTACAGATTTATCAAACTTGAAAAATAAATTCTTTATTGATTTTTTTAGCTTGGTCAAATAAGTTTACAAGATGAAAAACATTTTTAATGTCATTTTTAATGAAAAATTTAGAAAACAGGTCTAAAATTTTTTTTCGTTGAAAGTTTTCAACTCTCAGAAAATCACACAATATCAAATTTAATATAGTTATCCAAATACATATATTTGGGTGTAGCATAATTAGGCATCAGTAAACTAAAATTTATTGAAAGTTTTCAACGTCACACCAGTTATCCAAATACATATATTTGGGTGTAGCATAGGCATCAGTATCGGGGGGGGGGAGAGAGGGTAGTCACACAGATGTTTTGCAAAGATATACATAATATAGGAATTCAAAATTGGGGTTAACCTTGGGGTAGGGGTGTGTTCCACTTTCAAGTTGCTACCTAAGTAAAAAAGAGTTGGTCTGAGAGACCTTCTATATACCCATCTTCTCCTTGTTCTCAATGTGGGTGGGTTAATCAATACATGTAAATTAAAATGTTTTTCGAAAGATATAATTTTTACAAATAGATTCTCTCAATTACTAAACTCTAAGTCAAGACATTTTGTTTTATACATATTTTTTTTCAAAGTGCGTTAAATGTCCACATGGTAAAGATGTTGATATACACTCTTAACGCACTTTGAAATTTTTTTTCAAAGTGCGTTGATTTTGTCCCAATTTTAACGCACTTTGAAAAAATTTTTCAAAGTGCGTAATTTTTTCAAAGTGCATTGCCACGGAGCTGCAACACCAGGACAGAAAACAAATGATGATAAAAATGACTTGATTCTTTATTGAGAATAAACAATAAATTATAAAATAAAAAAAATAAAAAAAAAGGTCTTTTCAAGACAAAAGTCGAAATAAATAGAACAATGATGACGTAATATTTCTCCCAAGTGGAATATTTACAACAAATTATATTTGTTGACTAGATTCTTACACCTCTCACTTTAATTTTTTACTTGCGGGACCAAGGCCAAGTGTTCTGATGGTCACATATGAAAGTAACTGGTGAAATTGTGTTTCTAAATAATGGGCCTTTACCATCTAAACTGAGGTGCCAAAGTGAACTGATCGCGGCTTCATAGGAATAACTAAATATCAGTGGATATTCATTAGTTATTTTGAAGGTACCACTACAGGCCTTGTATAACGTTGAGGAACTTTTCGATATTGGACAGGCGGGTCTGCAAACTCGGCCACAACTGTCATAAGCAGATAACAACGACTCTGTGTGATTTACCGAAGGTTTCCGTACAGCCACTTGGATGATAGCTGAAGAAACAGCCTGTCGTTCGTCTAGAATAGAGAATTCTTTATATTTACCGTGATAATTAAGCCCATTAGATTCAACAAAGACTTTTGTAGCTCCTGATCCTGCAGGTTCACATTTCTGCTTATAAAAAACACGATCTTTGATTCCAATTTTTTCTCCATAATCATGAAAGCTTGATGGATCATGCTGATGATTGACCTCTCCTACCTCAGTTGTATTAAAGTAAACATTCCTTGGACGTTCATATAGCAGACGAACATTCAAATATACCCAGTCTTTAGGAGCGTAATGACCATTCACAATAAACGTGTTTCTATATGATTGGTCTAGTGTTGAAATGGCTTCGTCATGGCTTTGAATTAAGGCTGATCTTTTTACATTAATATTTTTATTTGTATATATGCTACGTTTTCCTCTTATCAGAATGGGTGCTCGAGGTATGACAACTCTACGTGCTACAACGCCAGGTCTTACAAGCCCTGGAACAACACCGACAGCTGTACCGGGACCTCTAGATCTCGCTACACAGATTCCGCGAAGGCATACCAAAAAAGGGCTTCCTCCACACTGTGGACAAGTAGGCAAGGGTGTGTGTCTGACAATTCTATCAAATCTATTAGAGAACGTTTCAAGATTTGTCATCGGACGGAAGAATGGTCTAAAGTTCAATCGTTGGAAAAACTCGTGACCTTGTGGAACATTAGGACCTCGTGGATAGTCTCGTTGTGGGTCAATTCCTCTTGCTCTCTGGTTGGTTTTGAACAAGAACCAAATGTAATTGAACATAGAATGTACAAACCAGAAAACTGGATCAAATGGAGCTGTGTCAAGGCCTGAAAAAAGACCTCCAATGCTATTGTGAACAGCATTGTGATGTACCTCTATGGAGAACACACTCATAGCTGGTTGTGGCTCTGTGATCTCGCTGGTTCTAGTTCTACTCAGAAGAGCTCTTAGTGCTTGCTTGCCTGGTATTCGAACTCCTCCTATTATTATAAAAAAAAGTAAAATTGAAAAAAAAATGTATAAAAATCTACGTGAAATTGTAACAAAGCAATTTACGACTTATTTCGTCTCATAAGCGCCTAAAATTTTAAATCGGATTAAAAAGAAGTAAAAGTTACTTATTTTGCAATAAAAACAAATTGTTAAGAATTTTTTTCAGTCTGATATTTTAGTCAGCGCTCTTGCGATCAAAAATTAGGCTTAAGCGCTTTTTTGGACTTAGAAAATTGATAATTTGTAAAATATTACAAATTGGATTTATACTTTAGACAATTGTTTGACAATAAAAGTCTCACTTATAAATATCACCATCTCCCTTTTTATGTCATGTCGTGCTAGAATAACGATACAATAAAATGATAAAACTAATATTCAAGTTTTAATTTAAAAAATCTTGTTTTGTATCTAAATTATCTTTATTTCCCGGTGATATATTTAATTGCAAAAAAAATACGGTTATTTTAATCTAGTCTTAGTGTGGTTAGTAAAGTGTAGATATGCTCCTAACAAAAGACAAATAATCAGCTTTTTAAATTGGCTCAAAAATTGCCTTGTTCTTAAAAAATTAAAAAAGCAATTTAATCAATTGGACCTTAATATACTAGCAAGATGTTTCTTTGAGACTTTAATATATTGGTTCAAATGCATGAATAAGAGATAAATTTAATAAAAAGTAACACGAAAAATGATGGATTAATTGCTGAAAATTATAGTTTCATTAAAATTCCAAAGCGTGAAGAAATTCATTAATATAATAATATCATTTTCCCCTACCTGCTCCAAGATTCCTTATGATAGGGGTATTTTGGGGTGTCACCCAGTTGCCGCAAAAACCTGTTCTTACTGCTCCGTTTCCATTCCCGAAGAAAGCGTTGGACCAAACAGCGGAACTGGTGGGATCGCTCATCTCGCCGTCCATCGTGAAGTCCCAGTATGGAATGGGTGTCCGGCATGCAGTTTCCATCCTGAAAAGGATGTTTAACTGTTACAGTATTTTCATTTTTTTTTTATTTCATTAATTCACCATTTATTTAATTTATCATATTAATATTTTAATTTTAATTTTAATTTTAATATCTTTTGCTTATAGGCATTGATTGTAAAAGTCAAATAAAACACTTTGATGTTGATGAAAAATGTCATTTATTAGATTTTAGTAAATACATAAAGAAATTGAATAAGTTGTTACTGTTAATTTAAAACTTACACCAGAAGATAAACCGCGTGTCGTCCAAGAAAACCTGGTCCGTTGTGCATGAATCTGGTCGCTTGCGCAGAATGTAGGGAGCCAATTAAGTCGTACGTGTTGATAGATGGATCAATAGACTGAAATATTACTAAATTTGGTAAAAATCAAAGAAATTGAACCATTAATTTTTCTTTTAACTTTTACAATACATGTTTTTCTCTATATTAATCAAATCAAAAGATTCTTGAAGTTTTTTCGCCATTATTTTATTTTCTTTTAATTTTGATGTTTAATTCTGTTCTTATTATTCCTAATTGAAATTTTTTTGCTTTTTGTGGAACATAGAGAAAAAATACAGTAGCTGATAAACTTAAGCAAAATGAGCTGCAGTTTTACCGATTTTAGTTACTTACATAGTCTCTTTTCAATCTATTTAAACAACCAAATATGCGGTTGCGCTGCGCAGTCGACAATGTCCGAATTTCACTCCTTATGCGCCAAGTTGGTCGCGCTTGTCGTTTCTTTCTTGTCATTCTGGTTTCAGCATTTATTTGTCGGAAGAGAGATTCCAAATAGTTAATTCCTTCAACACTAATATTTCTTTGTGCATTTTCGTCGTAGTGATTGAGGGCATAATTCTGGAGACAGAAGTCCTCTATCAGCTTTCCGGGAACATCGGCTACGCTTACATTCCGGGATTTGTACAAGAGGCACTCCTCCATTTCCACTGGTATGGGCATTTCTTGAACAGATCCGAGTACGGAAGGCAGACCAAAAGTTATGAACAGCACAACTTTTAACATCTTTTTTACTTCCATTCTGAAAAAATATACCTTCATCAATCTATTTTGAAAACGTTTTCTTCAATTTAAAAAAATAATTAATATTTTTTTGGTTTAAATTTTGGTTTCTGTTTTTAAAAAGCTGAATGATTTTTTTTTATTATCGACAAGAGCCGAGCATCTTACCTTGTTTTCGGCTTTGCAGAAATGAAATCTCTGGTACTACTTTAAATCAAACCCCCTTTTATACAAAACTCGATCTTTATTCAGGATATTCCATGATTAATTAACAAAAGAAAAATTGCCCACGAAATTTGAGAACAATCGATCCATCAAAATGATAATATATCTATAATTAGAATCATTTTAAAATAACCAACACAAATAAATATTTTACAGAAATCAGCGATATATTTCATATATTTAAGTTCATTCAGGTAACATATATAATGTTAACGTTTGCATTGATTTCTGAAGAAAACGGTCCAGATTCTCAAAAAGAGTATGTTAGGTAGTTATTATTCCTGTCAATGCCATTCAAAACACTCAATAATATAAACAACATGCATCAGACGTATATTAAGTTTTCATAATTTCCCAAATTCTTCTCATATTTCTTTTTTTTTTAAGAATTAAAAAAAAATATATATGTGCAAGTAGATGAAAGAATACACTATCACTGGGTAAGGAAATTAATTAGTCTTTAGATTAAATTTGACCGTTTAATTTCAGAGACAAGTTTAGTTTAAGGTATCAACAATAAAAAAAATTCTTGTACCAATCATTTTATGCCTTCATGTACTTCTAACTCGTAAGATTTTTTCTGTATTAGATCTTACCATATTGACATAAATAATTCAACTAAAAGAGATATTGGCTAATCCGAATTTCCTTTATTTTTTCCTAACAATTTTTAAGCATATATCATTTATTTTTTAATCCTTCCTCTTTTAATTTTTTTTCAGATATGGTTAGTAGTCATGAAAGGACACAAAGTGATACAAAAATAAAACGATAACATTGGACGAGTTATTCCTCTTTACACATTACCGTAAAACAATATATAGCAACACATGATTTGTTTGTTTGTTTATTTTTTAATTTGGTTTTCATGGAAGGATACAAAGTGATACAAAAACAAAACGATTTGGCCTTAGAGTGGGAAAAAAAAAATTTGTTTGTTTGTTTGTTTGTTTGTCTTTAATCTGACCTTAGATTGGACGCTTTCAAACGCTTACAATTTTGTAAAAATATTTGTTTGGACTATCAAATTTGTTATATTAAAAATAATTCACTATTATTGATTTCAGTTACAATATAAAACTCCTTTACGTCTTTGAGTGTTTAAAATGTTAAAGTTAATTCTATATTCTGTGATGATTTTGAGAAGAAGAAAAAAATTTTCATACGCTGTCATTCCGCTAAAAATATAGTACCTGCTAGATTTCAAATTTATTTTACCATTTTCTTTAATGTTGTACAGTTATGAAGATAAAAGAATCATATGATCTCTAAAATCATTAAATTTAAATCTATGTGACATTTAAGTAAATTTAATTTATTTACATGTACTTTGATATTTTTTTTTTACTTTGAATCTCTGATATTAATTGGAAACAGTTGGATCGTCATGAAGTACATTGTACATATGTAAATCCACAAAGGTAAAATGTTGTTTTTTTCTGAATATTTTTAGCTATTTAGTGTTTTTTATATATCTAAATTCTTTTAAGTAAATAACATTCAGTTTTATGTTAAAATAAAAGCAATTAAATATAACACCATGTCTAAAATAAATTTCCATAATTTATTTCACAATGACGTGACATTTCCTTCCCTTACTCCGCCACTTGTCACTCAAAATTGAATGCACAATTTTCTACACTGTAAATAAACATTTAATTTATTTTGATTTTTGGCAGTGTGTTTTCTTTACTAAAGAAGTTTGATAAATGTATTTATTTATCTTCATACTTTTATTGACATTTTTTTTTCTCAGCGATAAGATCCAATTTTCTTTCAAATTCGTAATACCAGGTTTATCAATATAATCTTTCAATGATTATCAAAAGAATTTAGAAATAAGTACAATATTAAATATAAACATGCATTTTTATGATATATATTTTAAAATTTCAGACCAAATACTAGCATTACCCCATCATGACACCTAATCCCACCTCTGATGTTTTGTAGGTCCGTGTTTGTTCTGCTCCTGATTTATGCTGTTTATTGTACTGTTGAACTTGAATACTAGTACAGTAACTGTTAGTATCTCCACCTATTTCATTGGTTACTTTCAGTGATCATTTGGTCAAGGCAACTATCTTTTATCCTTTTTTGAGAATGATTCGAGGAAATTCAATGTTTTAAATTGGATATTTATTACTTTATTATTGATATTTACAGAGTTTATTTTACACTTGGACATAATTATTGTTTTTTGACTAAATGAAGATATATTGAAAAAAATTCTGTCTCCCGAGAGAATATCAATTAAATATTCTCTTACATTTTGTTTGGGTATTTCCCTATAGCTATGAAAAACATGTAATTGCTTTTGTTTTTCTCTAAAAAAAAATATAAAGGTTAAAAATTAATTCAAAATTTTTATGTTAAAAAGAAATCGAAGTAGCTATAAATTCTATTCCGCAGGTAATTGCTTTTGTTTTTCTCTACTTTTTGAAAAAAAATGTATAAAGGTAAGATAAAAATTAATTCAAAATTTTTATGTTAAAAAGAAATCGAAGTAGCTTTTAGAAATGACTGCATGTGTTAAATGTTTGGCGTGGTTTTGGATATTTAGTCATCCTCCTAGATTTGAAACTCCCACATTCAAACATTTCTAATGTTTAGATACATGCGTTTGTCATCATCACGTTTTCTCTCCGAAACAATTTTATAAAATAAGTTAACTTTATCGGATTGTGTAAATTCATCTTTTCTCAGATTCCTTTGACTAGAAATAAAGGAGGGAAAATAAAGGAAAAATTTTTATTCTTAAAAGGTTTTTAATTGATGATTTTTACTTAAAACGTGATGAACACATTGATTTTTTATTTACGAACATGCACTACAAATCTGATAACTGAGTATCAAAAAATAGACCCTCGGATCAGGCACCTATATGGCTAGAGAGAGTGAACATTGTGTTAAAGGTGTCCAAAGACATGGTTTATTTGATACGATAAGTTTATATTTCTTCTTATTGTTAATTGAGATGTATGTGTGTGTGTGTTCTGAAAGATGAAGTGTATTTAATTTTGTCATCTATTTTGTGATATGGTGAGATGAATTTTTTATTTGAAGAATAATTGGATATTGCCATAGCAGTACTTTTCTGTATTATGATATATATATATGGAGATAACGAACAGTATTCAAGCTCATATATCCACCTAAAAATACAAATCTTGCGCGGAGCAAACATGGACCTTTAAAACATCAGAGTTGGGATCAGTTGCCATGGATATCTTTGCAGCCCAATTTGTCATTTCAGTATCTCGATTCTTCTTATTCTAACGTTTTAGGAATAGTTGTATACTTTTTACTTGAAATAATTTGTTCTTATGACAGTAGTTGAAAAACTAAATGTTGTCATATGAAGAATGCTTTCCTCTAAATGTATTCTACTTCATACCTGGGTCACAAACATGGAAGCATTAATGATTACTAATAAGTATGCATTCATTAAACTGATCATAAAATGATTGAAATGAGCATGAGGCCAATGGGCTCTCTGTAACTTTTATATAGATATATTTTTATATACATTTTATTTTAAAATACTTTAATTCTGGTTGTAACGCTGTATTTGATTGGATAAAAAATTTACTTTCTATCTTATAAAATGGGTTGCCTACGTCACAATGACTTGCGTCAAAAACGTACAATCCGCCTGATGTTACATTCAAATTTTGTACAAATTGAAGTCATTTTGTCAAAACAATCGTCTTTTTTTCTTACAACAAATGAATGAAAATTAAATTATAAGCAATGAATTTATTAGCTACCCATTTTATACGGTATAAACTGGGTTGGAACAGTTTACGCTTTTTTATAAACTGCTTCGCGGTTTATAAAGCGTAAACTGCCCCAACCCAGTTTATACCGTATAAAATGGGTAGCTATTAAATTCATTCCTTAAATAGCATTGTTAAGCCAATTTCACAAGGTCCAAGTACCATCTATAAATCAGTATCAAAAAGTAAAATCTCGTTTTACTGGTAAACGGCATATGGATTGATTGAAAATAAAATTAAAGAGTAGTTAAACAATAAATCAATTCTTTGTTTCTCAGTATTAGGACGAACGTTGCAGTTATTGTAGATAAAATAATCATAGATATATTAGCAAATTTTGGTCTATCTGGAATATTAGATACGGATTTCAGCATATTTATCTTCTACAATTACTTTGTCCAATACTTGCTTGAAGGACGGTTTTAACACTACTGAAAAATGTTTTTGACTTTAAAAAGGATTGTAAAATTTGAAAGTTAACATATTAATGTTAATGAGTACTTTTACCCCAACCCACACCCCCGCTTGAAAAATGGGAGAGTATGTAGGGATATACGTCTGTCTGTAGGTCCTTCCGTCAATTACGCTTTAGGGTACCCATCTCTTATCCGCAGCTCATCTTATACAACTGAATCAAATTTAATTAGACTTTCTCAGATTCTTTGTTACATAGTGCCATTGTGATCTTCTATTTTACTATTTGATCGGACACATATTTCGGGTTTCCCGCAGCAAAAATTGACACTTTTTTCTATAATATTGAAGGGTACCCATGTCTTATCCGCAACTCTTCCTACACCACTAAATAAAATTTAATGATACTTTCACGGATTCTTGATTACATAATGCCATTGTGCAGGTTCTATTTTACTTTTTGATCTGACATTTGTTTCGGGACTCCCAGGGCAAAACAAGGTCTTTGCTATTCTGAATAAATATATGGAGATAACGAACAGTATTCAAGATCAATTGTCCATAAAACAATACAAAATAGGAGCAGAGCAAACACGGACCTCCAAAACATCAGATGTGAGATCATGTGCCATGGAGGAGTGAGCATCCCCTGCCGACCGGTCACACCCGCCGTGTGATCCTTATCATGATTGGAAAATAACGGAAAAATCAGTCTTCAAGTCAGTGTATAAATATTGGACTAACAATCAGTAGAAAAAAAGTCAGTCAGCATTTGACTCAATGATAAACTGTATTTACTGACAAGGTCATTGTATCTACCTAAGAACTTACGA